TAATGGCTTGGGGTGCTGAGCAGAGCGTGCTTGGGTTTGGTTGGCTGATGAGGTTTAGTTGTAGAAGCACAATCAAAGGCACTAAAATGAATTACTTTATATGGATGTGCAATAAATGATGTTTTTTTAACTTTCATTTAGATGAGAATTCTTGGAAGGCAGAAGCTGAAATAGACATGGAATTATTTCATCAGGTACTTTTGTATTGTTATAGTCGTTGTCGCTAAATAAATATACTCCAGCTTGTGTTTCCAAAGAAAAGTTAAATAAGCCTTTGCCTCTTCCTGTGCACTTGTAGCAGTAATACTCCTTTTCTTCAAATAAGTTCTTTAGTGAGTCCAGTGGAGTATCATTGTTTTGGGTTTACACAAGTATAATCGTTCCATTTCTAATTGAGAATGCGGATGCCACAGTGGGAGTGAGGCCCATGAACTTGGTGAGCAAGTCTTTGCCCTTTACATCCAGTGTAGTGAAAAGGCCTAATACAGTTTGTCCAGAAGGACACGTGAGATGACTACTGAGGGGAAGCAGATTGTGTGTCTGCCGTAGTCTTTATACTTGGCTGAATTTCTGTTCCACCCTGAAATGTTTTACAAAATCCTTGTTTATTCTTTTTGAGACAACTAAGTCTCTTTATGGACTATTGGACTGAAATTGCAGAAATTATTAGAGGGAAATGGCATCCAGCAAACGCCACCTTGCTCCCTGTCCTGAAGGCAGCGTTCTGTGCCTGCTCTGGCAGGAGGGGTCTCCCCCTTCCCGTGGGGTGGAGGTGGCTGGGGAGTAGACTGATCACTTGGTGTGAGTCCTGGCGACGGGTGCTGGTCACAGGCCTAGCTCCTGATGGCTGCTCAGTGCTAAATCCTCTTAAGTGTAAGGTGAAACTGCAGCCTCCATCTGCTCCCACTGACCACAGAGACCTGACTCAGCACAATGGACACGTGCCCACCTCCAGCAGGGTTTGATGGCAAACTTGTGGCAGTTCAATGAGGCGTGTTAGACACACACTTATGTTTGAAGTGCTGGACTTCATGTCTTTCCTTTCTGCACCTCCCTGAAGGTGCTGGTGAGCATCATATAGGCAGATGTTTCACACCTCTCTTCTAGTAGTACAAGTTAGTTACCAGTTTACTTCACTGAAAGTGTAATTTGGCCATGTTTCCCCAATGTCTTTGTTTTTATGGCATTTTATCAGTATCTTTCTCTGTTTTGGTAGATGCAAACAATTAATTATTGACAATTAAGGTCAATAGCAGTGAAAGAAGATTTCTAATGTGATGTTTTTATTATATTTGCATTGCAGAATCACCTTATTGTGAAGGTGCCACCATATCATGACCAGCAAATAACCTCAGCTGTTTCTGTGGGAATTTATGTGGTGACCAATGCTGGAAGATCACACGATGTGCAACCATTTACATACACTCCAGATACATGTATGTAAAATAGAAAACTGGGGGAAGGAGTGGGCAGTTTCACCTGCTAAGCATCTTATTTCTGATTTCATATTATTTACTCTGTACAACAGAAATGTTAATTAACGTGGATCTTTCCAAACTCCTCTTGCTGTCAAGGTTCATTCTGTTAAATAATGAAATCCAAGGGCTTGGCTTTTCTCATTTATGTGGCAAGTATCTCAAATTTCAGCTGCATGGAGGAAGCTGTTCTTATAAAACAGCATCCATTTCTACTATAAGGTTCAAAATGAAGCTGAGCAGGAAAAAAGTCAACATATTCCATACAGCACACCAAATACATCTGAAAAATAACACCAAGCTTTATTCTGAGGAGTGTTAAGTTTGACCATATAATGTATTTTTGTTTATCTATATTACAACAAAGTGCAAAAGTTTGTGTGGGTTGCAAAGATCCTTACTTTTTTAAGATATAAGTTACTGTTTTGTTTTGCTTTGTGTGTGGTTTTTTTTTGCTTGTTTGCTGTTTTAACATAAGGAAGTTCTCAATGTGTTTTGTCTCAACAGCTGGTACTCTGAATGTTAATGTGAAGAAGGAAATCTCCAGCCCAGCCCAACATTGTTCTTTTGAAGAGGCTATAAAAGGTACTAAATTGATTCTTATCATTGTTGTTAATAATTTAAGTATAAATTCCTACCCAAATTTGGAGGAATGAATCAGACATCCTGTGAAGATAAGTCTGTGCTTATAAAAGCTGGCTGTATTCTTACAGTGAGGTTTGTTTTCTGATTCTGAATATTTTACTTTATGTTAGTATTTTTCTAAGTATATTTTAACATGAGCTAGCAGAGAACAAAAACTTTGCAAACAAGAATAATTAAAAAAAATTCTTTACCCTTTTTATGCCTCAGGCCCTGAGGTCTGATCTGCATTTACTGTGCTTGCAAGTGAAGAATAAAAAAGAAAGAAGCCTAAGATGGGGGTTAATACAAAGGATTTAGAAACTGTGCGGTGTTAATTTAAGCAAAGCCACATATAAAGGTTAGGGAATAAATGGAGGAGAACTGAGTATTGAGAAACACCAAGGTGCCAACCTGGTGTTTTTCAGAAGCTGTCCAGTGGTTTTAGAAGGCTGCTGTCAACAGGTCTGGGTAAGAATGTTAATACTGAGGATTTGGGCTTCTTCCCTTCAGCCACGTTAGATCTGATTTTTTTTTTTTTTTTTCCCCCTGACCATTCATTCCACACAAAGTTTGCTGCTTTGCTCCAAGGGAGCAATTTTTAGGTTTGCCTGGTTTTTAAGTGTGAAGTGAATTGATCCTTCTGATATTGAAATGCAGTGGAGGAAGGAAATGGTTCTTGAGTCGTTTGTTAAAGCTCTGGTGGTGTACAAAGGTGGCTGGAAATTTCCATAGCATGCTCTGGTGGTAGTGGGTTGAAAGGTAAGCAAAGGAACAGTGTGATCACAAGTTTGATAGGAATCCATAGCTTCAGGTTAAAATCATGAAGCTCATGTTTGAAGTTAATAGCTCAGTCTTGGCAGGGGATGTATTTACAAGTTGACTTTACAACTTGTTAGGGAGGATAATACAAGATACGATGAGTTTAAACCTGCAGAGAATATTTGGGGGAGAAATATGCAAAAATATTTATGCCAATGAAGCAAGCTGAAAAAAAAGACTGGTAAGTTTTCTAGTATCAAGATTAAAAAGATGAAGGAGGTAATAACTAATGTATCAGGACAAGCCTGGCATCCATCTGATTTAGTGTGGAGGCTTAACCAAGGGAAGATACCAACTGCTTCAGGACATCTGCTGTTCCTAAGAACACAGTGTGCTGTTTCTGTTCTTCGTGTCCTGTGTTTAATTTATGCAACAAATCTTAATTTACTTTCTTGTGTGGGTTTTCTGCTAGCCAGCTCTTTTTTAATCGTTCATTCCTAGACTTCTTCTGGTCTAGGTTGACGGTGAAACAGAAGTCAGGCAATTTTGTCTGCTTTAGGTCCTTTGTCTCTGCTGATGTCCCAGCCTGTGGGGATCCAGGGAGATGCTCCTTCCTTCCTGTTTCCTTTCACTGGGAGCAGAATCTCTGTACTGATGATTTCTTAAGTGGCATAATTTCCAGGAGCCCTGGCTGAATGTACATGTACAGTCAGGTACTGAGCTGCAGGGCCTTTCTCCTCCTGTCACAGGCAATTCTGCTTTGTCTGAAGTACCTGTGAAATTTCCTTAAAATAGTTTCTACTGCAACATCTGCATTTGTAAAAAAAAAAAAAACAAACCACATGGCTTCCCAAAGCCATTAGGAAAAAAAAAAAAAAAAAAATGGCTTCCCAAAGCCATTAGGGATTCTTAGTTCTAACATTTTAAGAGTCTTTTAAAGATTTTAAGACTTGACAGGCTTCAGTGACAAGTTATGTTTCAGGACAAGGAATTTCTAACTCTGAGCTGCTATGCAAAACTCAAGAAAGGTGTGTGGGTGTGGACCACCATATAGTCCAGGTCTTTGCCCTCTAGTCCTGCAGTAGTGCTGGAGAATTGGTTTTGAGTGGTTAATGATGGATTCAGTTGCCAGCTTTGGGAGAAAACAGAAAGGGGTGGTGGTGTTGATAAGATAATTGCTCAGAAGGTCTAAACGAAGTGTTACAAAAACATAGTAAAAGACCAAACCCAACAGTGTTTCTCTGTTTTTGAAACTTCTTTTTCATTATTAATCTCACTTGGGTTTTTTCATTCTTCCAACCAAATACGTCGCTGTGAATGAAGACACCATTGCTAGAATCTAATCTGTGTCCCAGTGGGATTTGTTTTAATTACTTAAATCAGTTTTTTTCTTTACTGTTTCTGATGAACACAACATGATTAAGCATGTAGAAAAGAAAAGCTTATAAATTGTGACTGTGCTATAGAAAACCAGTGACTGCTGTCTTTAAATGCATGGTGTGTCTGGCTGTCCTGAAGTAGACTTATTTTAGGATGATCTCACTCAAATTGTCTTCCCTGCCAACTTCACAGCCAAACACCTTGGGTCCTGGGTCTTGTCTTTCTGAAGCCACCCACAACCTGTGAATGAGTTAGTGAGTTAGTTTGCTGTTAGTCTTTAAAATAACCTCTGAAGTTTTCACTGGTTTTCTAGGATTATTTCAAGTGTTCTCTCTGTGTGACCGTCTTACATGAGGATGAGAGCTCTTGTGGTAGGGCAACTGACACAGAAAGCTGGCCACCACTAGAAGGCCTCTCTTTGTATAGCCAGTGTTAATGTTCCCTTTCCCTTCTTTTAATTTGTGACTGCAGCAGTGAAGGCCACTGGCTGTAACCTGGAGAAGGTGAACATTCTTCCTAGTGCCTTGATAACTCCACTCATGCCAAGCAGTATGATCAAGAGTGAAGATGTGGCTCCAATGGAAGTAAGTGCAGAAAAAAGATCTCCCTCTGTCTTCAAGGTAAGTTTGGTTGTGATCTGAAGACAGTAGATTTAATTGCCTCAGTCACATGCACCCATCAGTCCATGTTCTAATAGTGGAGAAGAGTAACACGCAGGGAAAACGGAATGTCTGAGATGGGTCTGGGCAAAACATGGGATCACAGACAGGGAGATTAAATAATAGGCAATTTCCTTTGAAAGTAACTTATCTTGTTCCCACATTCAGATTGATTAGGTGGTGACACTACAAGGGATTTTCTTTGTCCTGTGACTCAGAACTAGCAAATTACTCTAAGAATATTATTTCAATGTCTTTGTAGCATTGTTTTCATTAAATTGAATAATTAAATTTTAGAAGAATTGGCTCCTTCCTTCAGTAGCATTTCCACTGCTAGTCATTTGCTTACTTGTTTGTTTCTGTATAAGAGATAGGCAGCCATCAGATCTCCCCTCTGGTCGTTCTGAACGCTGCAGACTGGGGGAGATTCCCTGGGCAGAACCGAGTACGCTCACGAGTCGCTGCACGTGTTGCTCTTTGCAGGCTTCTAACGTGGTTGGACCAACTCAGCAAACATTGGAAAACAGTATGTCTGGCATATCAACTTCTGCTTCCCATTTACCTTCTGAAAATGAAAACCAGCAGCAAATACCACCGAAGGTGTATAACCCAGAGACACTAACTACGATCCAAACACAGGACATTTCCCAGCCTGGCAGCTTTTCAGCAGTCTCAACTCCAGGTCAGCTCCAAAACAGTGATGCATTACTGCAACAAGCTGCACAGTTCCAGACGAGAGAGTCCCAAACCAGGGAGGTCTTGCAGTCAGATGGCACAGTGGTCACGCTGTCGCAGTTAACCGAAGCATCGCAGCCACAGCAGCCTGCACTCCCAGAACCAGCACAGGCATTGCAGCAGCAGATTTCATCCAGCATTTTCTCATCGGCGAGTGGCGTGAATCAGTTACAGAACACTATACAGCAACTGCAGGCTGGGAATTTTCCAACAAACACTGCCACTGGCAGCAACAGGAATGTTGACTTGGTGCAACAGGTCTTGGAAGCTCAACAGCAGTTGTCTTCTGTTTTATTTTCTGGTTCAGACAGCAGCGAGGATGTTCAAGATCAGCTCAATGCAGATCTCTTCCAGCAAGTTAGCCAGATACAAAACAGTGTGAATCCTGGGATATTTTCCTCATCGGACACAGCTGTCCATTCCAGACCAGAGAACCTTCTACCGGGACGAGCTGAAAACGTTCACTCACAGCCTGAAAATGCACTGTCCAATCAACAGCAACAACAGCAGCAGCAGCAGCAGCAGGCGATGGAGACTTCTGCAGCAATGGTGATAGGAATGCAGCAAAACATTTGCCAGGCTGCAACGCAGATGCAGTCTGATTTGTTCTCTTCAACAAGCTCGGGGAACGGAGCGCTCCAGCAGTCACCTGTTTATCAGCAGGCTTCTCACATGATGAGTGGGTTATCAACAAACGAAGACATGCAGATGCAGTGTGAATTATTCTCTTCATCTCCTGGCGTTTCTGGAGGTGAGACTACTCCCACGGCTCAGCAGCAGGTCTCCAACAATGGACCCGCTATGTTTCAGGCATCAAATTCTGCAGATGGAGAAGAAGCTTCAGGACAGAGTAAACAGATGCAAAGTACTGTGTTTCAGACAATGGTTCAAATGCAGCATAGTGGAGAAAGTCAATCTCAAGTGAATCTCTTCTCATCTACCAAGAACATGATGACTGTCCAGGCAAGTGGAACTCAACAGCAAGGAGGTGGTCTGTTCCAGCAGGGTGGAGAAATCATGTCCATTCAGTCGGGAAGCTTTATGCAGCAGTCTCCACATTCACAGGCTCAGCTTTTTCACTCTCAGAATCCTATCGGTGACACTCAGAATATATCACAGGAAACACAAGGCTCTATTTTCCACAGTCCAAATTCCATTGTCCACAACCAGACCAGTACTAATTCCTCAGACCAACTGCAGCCTCCCATGTTCCACTCACAGAACGCCATGGGTGTTTTACAGAGCTCCTCAGTTCCTCAAGACCAGCAGTCTGCCAACATGTTCCTCTCCCAGAGCTCTATGAGCAACCCTGCAACGCAGGAAGAACAGATGTCATTCTTTACAAGCCCAAATTCCATTTCTCCTCTTCAGACAGCGACAAACACTGAACAGCAGACTTCTTTCCAACAGCAGACACAGATCCCTCATATCCAGAGTTCTATGCTTCCCCAGGAACAGCCCCAGACTCAGCCTGCTCAGCAAGGTTTGTTTCAGTCTCAAGTGTCGTTGGGCTCCATCCAGTCCAGCTCAATTCCCCAGAACCAACAAGGAGCGATCTTCCAGCCTCAGCATTCAATAGTTGCTATCCAGAGCAGTCCTCCATCTCAAGAGCAGCAGCAGCAGCAACAGCAGAACATGATGTTCAGTAATCAGAATGCCATGAGTACAATTGCTTCTCAGAAGCAGAACATGATTTTCAGTCCAAACCAAAACCCAGTTACCAATCAGGAGCAACAAGGCCAGTCTATTTTTCATCCACAGACTAACATGGCATCAATGAACCAGGAGCAGCAGCCCATGCAATTCCAGAGTCAGACCACGGTGTCTTCTCTCCAGAATCCTGGATCCAGCCAGGCTGAAGCACAGCAGCCAGCCATCTTCCATAACTCACCCCAGATTCAGTTGGTCCAAGGGTCACCGAGTTCTCAAGAGCAACAAGTCACCCTCTTCATCTCTTCAGCTTCCATGTCTGCCCTGCAGAACAGTATGAGCCAGCAAGAGCTGCAGCAGTCTCCTATGTACTCTTCCCAAAGCAGCATGGCCGGAATGCAGGGAACTGCTTCTCCTCCACAGCAGCAAGCTTCTTTATTTCACAACACAGCGGGAGGTGCCATCAACCAGCTGCAGAACTCTCCTGCTTCATCTCAGCAAACATCAGGAATATTCCTGTTTGGCATTCAGAACAGTAAGTGCCAGATGCCCAGTTGTGAGTTTACAGTTTAGAAGAGCTACTCACTGGAGTCCACAAGACCGTGGTGGTTCAGTTCTAAGATAGCTTTAAAAATAAAAGCCTGGAATAAGTAACAGCACTACAGCTGAGGGTATACATACTCCTCAGGCTGCTGGGTCTACGTGAGAGCTCTCAGCTTAAATGCCTGCTGGTCTTACATGCAGGGTTAACATGTGACCAAACCAGCTTACAGTTGTATCTGTATAGAGATAAGTATCTACATAATATAGATAAAATATTATTAATGGATATACAAATAGTGTATTGAATCCATGTCTGCACATGTTAAGAGAGCATAACTTTTTTTTAAGGCAGTTCCACTGACCTTTCTCTTGCTTTGTTTGGTTTTCACAATTTATGCTGTGGCTTTCTCCACCCATTGTTGAAGAAAAGCAGTTTTTTTGAAGCTGCGTAGTCTAGAAAATTATCTTTTGAAATTTATTTGAAACCCCTGTGACTTTATAAGCCTGCACTTTTCCCAGTCTCCTCCCTGCACTGAGCCTCTCTGAGAAGCTCGTTGGGCTGTCGGTCCTTTCCTCTGTCAGCAAAGGGCTGTACGTACTCGTGGAGCTCCAGAATGAGCAGGTGCAGGTGATAGTTGCAACAGCTCATAAAAGATGTGGACAGAAAGCCTGAGCTGTGTCTTGGTGTGTGGTTATACCAGAGCACATGCTCTGCTGTCTCAGCTCTTTGACAATTGGGCCATGTGCAGCCAAGCTGAAGATCATGCTCATGGTAGGAGGTGAGACATGATTTGCAGGTCTGTGGGAGGAGGCAGTGGATACCTTGGCTGAACTGAAGACGATGGATCTGTAATTCAGAAAGACAAAGGACGGGCATATTCAGCACTGCTCTTAAGCTGTGCATTTTGTTTTTCTTCCTGCTGGGTGTTGTCCTCTGGGACGTTTGGTCATGGTGCAGAGTCCATCTGTTCAACACATGTACCTTGAACATGGGCCTGTGGCCCAGGGGAGTGGTGGGCAAAGGTGGGCAAAGGTGGCCACGTCAGCCAAACCACACGTCACGTTCTACGCAGCTCGTAGTCAGTATGGATATATGTAAAGGAGTTGGCTACACTGCATGCATTGACCTCGTTTAAACGGTCCTTTGTTCTTCACTTGCTGCTTCTCAGACTGTGGCCAGCTGCTAACATCTGGACCAGCTACGCTGCCGGACGAGCTGATGGCCATAAGTCAGCCAGGACAGCCCCAGGGCGAAGGGCAGGCGGCGGTGCCGGCGCTCCTCTCCCAGCAGATACCCGAGACTCCCCCACTGCCCTCAGCTATGGCAACCAACCAGAATATCAAGAAAATAGATGATCTGCTCGTGTCATTGCAAAACCAGGGGAACAACATGGCTGGCTCGTTTTAGTTAGTCAAGTAAGTAATGGGTTTGAGTTTCTGGGTTCTTTCCTGCCACACATACTTTTGTTGAGTAAGGCTTTCCTGCAGAATGTGTCACCATGCTTTGAGAGGTGGGCTGAAATGCCCATCGTGCTGAATTAAGAATATAACACCCGTGGCTAGAATGGAGAGTTACTAAAACCAGTAAGAGGTTGGAATTCGTATGAGATGGTTGAGTCTGGGTCTTGTTCAACTGCTGTATGTTTTGTCATCTGCTGTTACAGTCTAGTACTTTATTAGGAAGGAGTGTAGATCGCTGGCAGCGTGACAGAGGTAAAAGCGTTGTGAAGTATGGCTGTAGTTACAAAACTTCAGGCTTCTTGAGTAAGTACAAGCCTGTACTATGCTGAAGTTGTCCCCAGGGTTACAATAATGTAAAATGAAAACAAGTTTTGGTAGAATGCCGTGGCTACTGTGATTGTGCCACATGCTGAGGCTTTGTTAGAAAGGAGCTGCCCCATCAGCTGTTACTAGGAAACATTATGCTTTTAGGAGGTGCCTTTTTCAGAGGGGTGAAAGGGGCTTTGATTATGAATGAGTAGCAAGAACCTGGGGGATTCTGGAGTCCTATTGTCCACTGTGTGTTACTTGGCTCTAGTTAACTCTGTTGCTGTCCTAAACCACCAGAAGGTTCACTAGGCGATACGCTTCATTTTCTAAATTAAACTATTTTGTATATAAAGTTATGAACTTAAAAAAATAATTAAAAAGGAAGATAAGAGAGAGTGGAAGGAGAGTATCCCTGCTCTGTGTCAGAGTGCTATGTTCTGATATTCACTCGTAGTTTCACGTCTGCTTGTGAAAAACACTTCCATGGTGAAAGGAACTACCTAGAAGTGAGGGAATGGCTTTTGTTAGTCATCCCTAACTTTTCTGCTTGCTTCTCTTTTCCTGCAGAAGTTCTGTGAAGAAAAAAGTGATGATTTCCCAGATCCTCTCAGACCTTCCGACTCTGGATTAGGCTGTGTGGACCTGATTGCTTCTGTCAAAAAGTGGCCCTCTTCTCTAAAGAGCACACCCGTGGCCAACTGCAGCATCTAGCACCCAGGGCTGTGCCCGTAGCGTTTGGGACCCGTAGTGCCAATACTGCTGAGGAGCTATGCTTTGTGTCACTGGGGCGTGGCACTGCACCCTCGCCAGATCCCCAAACCTCCCTGGCGGTGGGTGGGCTGCTCTCTGAATTTAAAGCATATCTGGTCAGTTGTTATTGTTGTTAGAAGGTAATTCATGTTACCACGTTTACTTTTTTCCTCCTCTTCCTTCTTCACATCCCTTCTCTTGACTAGAATATCTTGTGAAGCAGAACCGTGTGATGCCTGCGCCGCGGGCCGTGGCCCGGGGCTGTCAGGAGGTGGAGGGTCGGCGTGTTTCCCAGCTCAGAGGGAGAGCCAGTCCTGCCCTTTGCTGTCTGTGGTAGGTGGCAGTGAAAAATGTCACTACCTGCAGTGACCGAGCAGTGAGTTCCTTGTGCTGTGGGTGGCCAGAGGTAGGTGCTCCCCATCTGCCCGTGACTCACGGTTCCCGGGTCTCTTACCTGTAACTGTGCAGAGCGAGGGCTCGGTGGCTCCAACAAAGTGAAGAAATGAAGGGGAACTATCAATCAAATTTTGCTCTTAAAATCTTACCCTTTGAAATACCTTCAATTTGAGACAACTGTTCTGCCTGGCTGAGGAGGGAGCTCCTCTGAGTCTCTCCCTCTGACTGATGGGTTAGAATCCCACGAAGCTGCATTAGCCATTCCCAAACCAGCCTCTTCCCTTCCATCCTTTTCACGGTTTTCCTTCCCTCTCCCTCAGTTTCATATTGCATTTTTAAAAAAAGACATAAATATCCTACTGGCTTTAAAGACCAGAAGCAGCTTTTAGGGATCCATGAATTGCATAGTCAGTAGAAGCTTTGACAGATAATCAAGGATTAAGGAGAGAAGAAGCGATTTCTCCACCACCTTCCAAGCGCAGGAATCCCCCTTAACCAGCCCTTTCCCAGTCGTTAGTGGTGTACATCTTCAGCTTGACTTGACTCCAAGTAGGGGGCAAATTACATCACTTTTAAACATTCTTGAAAATTTCACTTCATCCTGAGCTGTTGCATCTTTGTAGTCTGTTGAGCTCATTGCAGTATTGAAGTGATTTTTTGTTTTTAATACCAAGAGTCCCCAGGTCTAGTTTCTAGATTGTCATGTCTCAATTAGAGAAAAAAAAAAAAAAAAGATGTTTTTTTGCTGTTACAGAATGTAAAACCAACCCACTCCAGACCATGCGGTCGTATCGTGAGGCGTGTGAATTTTTTGGGTGCTCCAGCTCTCCGGATGGTTTCGTGCTGTCTCCCTAGGGCCTCATTCAGATGTTTGTTTCTCTCCTCTGCCCGTGGGAGGCTGCTGTGGCCGTGGAGCCCGGCAGCCTCACCCGTGGCTCTTAGGGCCCAGCAGAGTGTAGTTGGGGTCACGTCATTTTTCATTTTTGTTATTTTTAAATAACAAAGAATAGTCTGTAAATGGTTTTTAAGTTACTCTCGTCTGTTTACTGTGTGTTTTTCCCTTAACTTGTGTGCTTAGTTGAGCCGTGTAGAGTTTCTGTTTGTTTTACTGGATTCTCCTGTTTGTCAGTCTGTCCCAACGTCCACTTTCTCTTTCTGTCTCGCTCTTTCTCTCTCTCATTGAGAGGCATTGAATTACGTTTTCAGTAGTAAGGCTTCTTGCCGATATGAAGGGAACTTTTCAGAAAGAGACCTGCTCTGGGTCATTTAATTTTGAATACAGTTTTCAATCGTTCAAGTTTTGGATGGTTTATATCTAATGTGTGTTTCATTTTTTTGGAAAGCTATATTTTGTATTTAGGAAATGGTATAACTATTTTGCTATTTGTACTGAGTGAGTACATTGGCATAAATATAAAAATTTATATATATACATATATATAAAATATTCTTTTTGCCACACATTTTTGTGGTAAATTTGTGAGTTTGTCTGATGTTCTACCACAACGTGGCGTCTGATAACAGTGGGGCGGGGTGGGGTTTGTTATGTCTTTATTGAGTATTTAAGTACTTTTTGCAACATAAATAACTTGTTCATCTCTCGCCATTCCATCAGGCAGTTTGTTGTTCCAACTGGCCGTGAGAAGCTTCCCTGTGTGCTTTGATGTGTCTGTCACTCAGCAGCACGGTCTCGTAAGGGAGCCCGTAGGCGTGCTGAACGACGGGGTTTCGTTCAGAGTGAGCCATTCAGCTTTCAGCCACTGTCACCCTCTATTTAATATTTTATTACTAGCGCCTCTGCGTTTTAACTCTTAATTTATGATTATGCTAAAATGTTTAAAATTTTAATCATGATAAAAAGAATTCCCTGCTTCGTAATGTCCAGAGCTGCTTTTAACCCCCAACCATCCTTTTCTTTCCGTGATTATTTTTTTTTATTTTATTTTTTTTTAATTTTTTAAAAAAATTTCCTGCTAAGCCAGAATACTAACAAACTCCTGTTATGGTTCATGACACGAAAGCAGCGATCTCGCAGCGTTGACGAAATGCTGTACGTGGCTCTGTAGGAGACTCAGAGTTATGGACCGAAACAACGTCCCGGTGGGCGTGGGAGTCGATCGCCAGCTGCCCAACCCGAGCTGGTGGCGTTGGCAGGATGGCAGTCCCAGGACAGGCTGCTGGGTGTCACCCGGGGCCTTTGTACCCAGGAGTCGTCACAGGGATGGTGAATCCTTTCGTGTGCTGCTTCAGCTCGCTGCGTCGTCCCGCAGGGTGTATCCTCACCTTGAAGTGCTGTCAGTCAGTGCCAAGTCACCGGGGACCAATTCTCCATTAACAAGATGGGTGTCCAAAAGAGAACCTCATACCAGGACTGCTGCAGCTCCAGGGGAAGGGTATGTTGGATTTGTGTGCGTATTTTAGGTCGCTTATAAAGAGAAGAGAAAAAAAATAATGTAAAAAAAAAATATATTAAAAAAAGAAAAAAAAAAAGGGCTGTGCTGTCACATTTTTCACTTCTGGGTAACACCTTCCGTGTGTTAAACTTCTCTTGTTCATTTTAGGTCAGTGTTTAAATGTACAACACTTTGAACATGTGATTTGGTTACAAAAAGTATTTGTCTTATGAATGGAGAGATTGCTCAGCGGTCGATTAGTGCCTGAAGAATCTGGAAGCAGCTGTTACAGAGGATTGAGGGAGGTCTGATAAACCAGTCCAGAGCTCAGAGACAGGCTGTGGGATTTCATGGCAGGAAGAGCCAGGCACAGCGTGAGCCACGTCTGGATTTTATCAGTGTCCTGAACGTTGACCTCTGTGGTTTAAGCAGTTGCTAATCAGAGCTTGCTCTGCTGGGGTTTTCTCAGCCCTGCGTTTGCTCCTCTGCACGCTCGCACTACGCGCCCGCTGGCAGAAGGGGCTGGGGGGGCGGTGGCATCACGTCGGGTCTGCTTGAGCTGAGGGAGTTAGGAGATCCTGAGATACTAGTCTCTGTAAATTTAAAATTCCTGACATGGTTTTACAGGGGAAGTCACTGTCATATCCATGCAGCAGCAATTAACTACAGAAGCTGTTCCTGCTCACAGCAGGGACGTTGGACCTTTAAAGGTCCCTTCCAACCTAAACCCTTCTGTGATTCTCCGTTACCAGGGGAAGACTGAAAACCCACAGAGCTGCCTTGCTGGGGGGTTTGCCCCAGCTCGTGCTTTCTGCTGCTCGAGCTGGCTCTGGAAAGACTCATGAAGCCCAACCCTCCAGGTTGAGCATGGGCTGTGCTCCTCAGCCCCCGAGGCCCCACGGGCACACGGTGCAGGGAGCACAGATCATTCTGGGCACAGATCAGCCATTTCTGGGCACAGATCAGCCATTGGTCTTGTCGTGGCTCCACACGCCTGCTCCTGGCTGCTTGGACACTGTGCATGGATGTAGCTGCAGATAGAGGTCTCTCACGTGACTGACACCATACACTGTTAGCAGCTGAACATCTCCTCTGGCAGGAAGTTACTGGTGCTTTGTGCTTAATTAGCAGGTCCATGTTGTGTTATTAATTGCCTCTTTGCTGTCTGGGCTTTCAGCAGTTGTTCAAGCTGAGTGCTTTGCGATTATTTTAATATAAAAAGCTGAAGAGGTAATTTCAGCCTCGCTGTTCTGAAGTGGATGTTTAATCACCAGTCATTTTATTACAGTTACTTTTAGTCACAGACAGGGTAGTTCCTTCCTTGTGTAGTTTTAAGACAGGGTAAAGCACCAACAGTTGAGCTTTTGTCACTTTGGTATTTTTTTTTTACTGGAAGTACAGAGTCTGGGCAGCTGTACCAGTGGACATTCCCCTACCTTAGATAAGTTGCATTTTTTTATTTTTTAAATATTTTTAAGCTTCTGTTGTGTTTTAGAGGGGAGATGTAGACTAGAGAGAAGGGAGAAATTTTTGACACTGAGGGTGGTGAGCCCCTGGCCCAGGTTGCCCAGAGAGGTGGTCGCTGCCCCATCCCTGGAACCATCCCAGGTGAGGTTGGCCGGGGCTCTGAGCACCCTGCTCTAGTTGGGATGTCCCTGCTCCCTGCAGGGGGTTGGACTCAATGACCTTGAAAGGTCCCTTCCCACACAAACCAGTCTGTGGTTCTATGATTCCGATTTAGGATTATAGTTTCTAAAACCAAAACTTGTCTGAGCAGATTTTCTATTCCTATTGCCTTTCCAGAGTCTTCAGAAGGAACACAAAGTCAGAAGCTTGCATTTGTCATCAAACATAGTTTAAATCACTAGCTGAGTAGCAGGAAAGATGATTTATTAAAAAGCAAAATCAACACTGTTGTACTGGACTAAAACAGCTCCCCGCAGCTGCCCCCGAGGGTGGGTGTGTGTGCGGACGTGTGTGTGCCCGTGCACAAAGAGGGAGAAGGGAGTTTTCTGCTGGGTTCCTGGCTCAGGTGGTGGTGGGAGAAGAGCACGAGGGCTTCAGGACATTCCTGTGAGTGTTGGGA